CACACACACACACACACACACACACACACACACACACACAACACCCTTAACGTTCAAAGTATTAGTGTATCCGAGACACTTAACTACAATCCAGCACATAAGTGGCATATTATCCCGTGCTGAGCAGCTGTAATTCAATTTTGTGTGTGCTAGCCTCTAGACATTCTACCGGGATCCATAAGGCATCTTAGCTAAACCTCCACAACAAGGTACATTGCTGACTTTACCATTACTAGGTATGTGTGTGGTTATGAAAGAGACACACAGATGTATGGACGTAACTTAATTACTTAAACATCTCTCTGGTCCACTAATTCAACATCACAAATACCCCTGTTTCATGTGAAGAAGGACTTTAGAGTTCTGCATATAAGGCAATGTTAAGGAGTGAGTGAGTGTTCAGGCTGGGGAGACCACAGGCTGTTCCAGAATCAGGGACATCTGGTATGTCATTAACCAACCATTTGACCTTGAGCAAGTCACTTCACCTTCCTAGGCCTCGGGTAGTATCTATGATCTCTACACCCGCCCAAATCAGTCACGTCCAGCTCAAGAAATACACCTTTTTTTATTTGAGGGGGGCAGAGATACAGGAATGGGCTTAAAGAGCTTGTTTAGAGGGATGACCTAAGGTTTGACGGTGGCACAGACACAGGCCACCAACCCAGTTTCCATCGTGGGGAGTAACAGGCTGGCACTCAGCTCCTGGCCTTCACCTACTTGACCTGGGCCAGCCCTCCACATTTTGTGCTTTTGAAAGAGACAAGTTGTGCATTTCCCACTTTTCCCTATCAGGTCGTCCAAGCCTTTCAATTGTCTCCTTCAAAGCCCATTTAGAAGTCAGGACGCGTCCTCCCTATCCCCCCAATCATTTACTGCACAGTGAAGGGCCCTAGAATAGCCAAAGACCTACTAAGTGCAGGCCCAGTGCAAGCCCTGGAGATAAGGGAGGAGATTCTCTCCTACCTTAGGTATTCTCACGGCCTAGTCATCTTATCCCATGAATACGATACTGTTGGGGTTATTCTGTATAAACTTTTCTAAACTAGACTCTGGCCCCGTTGGGGTCCCGATTATCACAGCTCGAGTTACAGAAAGGTAGGAACGAGACGTGCTCTCTCCTCTCCTGGATTCCCCGGGTACTCCGGGAACCCCTCTTCCGCGGCTCCACACTCCCACCACCGCCTACTGTCCTCTGCCTCCAGTTCTTTTTTGGGTTTTATTGTAACCAGGGGCCCTCGTGGGCCAGCCTGTCTCCCTCCCAGGCTTCAAGCCTCCAAATAAATCTACACACCCGTCCCCACTGCAGCTGCCCCGGGCGCATCCTGAGTCTGTGGAAAGTGTCCTAGTAAAGCCCTCGGAAGTATACCTTAAAGGCCATCTTAAGGCGGGTGAAGACACACCCTTGCTGGCACCAGCCCGCACGACCGGCTCCGCCGTCAGGGGAAGCCAGTTTTTTTCCTCTGGGGGAGGGCGGCCGCCTCTGCGGGAAGCCGGCCGAGCCCCGGCGCCGCCAGGAGAAGGAGCCTCGTACCCCATGACCGCCCCCGCGACGGAAGCCCCTGCCGGCGCCCCGGGCCGCGGCGGGAACGGCAGCCGGGAGGAGCCCGGCTGCGCGCCCCAGGGGAAGGGGAGGAGCGCGCCTGGCCTCCGGGCACGGAGGGCGGAGGGAAAGAGGAAGGCGAGAGATGGGAGGTGAGGGCGGGCGGAGGGGAGGGGAGCGGGCTCGGGGATGCCGCCGGCCGCCGGCTCCTTCACGGGGCGGCCCAGCGCCCGCTCGCCCTCCTCCCCGCCCTGGGGCTCCGAGCGACGACTCCGGGAGCCCCGGGCCGCGGCGTGCTCGGACCCGGGGGCCCGCAGCCCCTCTCCCGGGTCCGCCCGCCGGCCCCCCAGCGCTCCCTTCCCCCGCCCGCCGGCCCCCATTGCTGCGCTCCGTCCATTTCCCAAGTGCGTCGTCTTTTAAGCCTCGCCGCCGTGCCAGCCCATGCCGCGCCGCTTCCTCCGCCGCCGCCTCCTGCTGGCTGCGGTCGCCCTGACTTCCTCCCCGGCCTCCGGGGCTGCCCGCGCCCCCGGCCCCAGCTCTCCCCACACTCACCCCTTTCCCCATGGTGGCGGTGGTTGGTGCCCGGCGCGGGGTCTCGCCGCTTGAGAATCAGAGAGAAAAGAAGAGAGCAGCTCGCGGCCAGCGGAGCGACGAGGGAGCTAGGGTTGTCGCGGGGCGGTCGGGGGGGAGGACGGCCGGCGGTCGGGCCGATGCCGCCGCTGCCGCCGCCGGGCTGCTACCGCTGCTGCTGCCACGTGTCCGCCTCCTCCCGCCGCTCCTCAGCGCCCCAGACCCCGCCGCAGCTCCAGCCCGCGCCTCCTCCTCACTTCCTAAAATATGCAACCTGCGTGCTGGCCCCGCCCACGCCCCGCACGTCACCGTTACCGGAGCAACCTGACACCCGCCGCCGGCCGGACCCCGCCCCTCCGCAAACCCCTCCCCCCAGACCCGGGGCGCGCCGGCTGCGGCTAGTCCCGACTCCCGGCAGGAGGGCGCCGGGCCCCGGGCGCGCGTGCCCTCGTCTCGGGAGGCCGCGGCCGAGCCGCTGCGGGGCGCACAGGCTGCCTGGGCGGCGGGGCCTTGGCGGCCATGGAGCTCCCGTGCCCCCCCCCGCGCCCTGCGTGACCGTTCTGTTTTGTAGGGCAGCGAAGGTCCGCAGTGGTTGCGGGTACGTTGACGGAACTGGGCTCCCGGAGTCTCCAGGGACCCGGGACAGAAAACTCGCGCGGAGGGGCCTTTCCAGTGTGTCAGGAAGTTCCTCTGGGACTGAGGGACGCGCCGAGGTGGGGGTGGGGGTCAGGTGTGACTGCAGCCAGCGCCCCTCTATGGGACTCTGCTTCCCTGCGTCGTCCTGGCCCGGAGCCCTCCCGAATGCCTCCTCAGGCCTGGGATCCCCGTTATCCACTTCCCGCTCCACCCCAGAAGGACTGGGTCTGGGCTGGTCTTGCCCGAGGCCCCAAGCGTCCTCCCCAAATAACAATCTAAAGGACGTCCAATGAATTCATTCAGGCAACGGTGTGAATGAAACCTGTTAGTCCAGTTTGGTGATTCGCTTTTTAGAGGAGGAACACCTGAAACCTTAAGGAATGCATATCGTTAGCCAAAGGGGCCGACTGGAGCGGGAGATGTTTGAGGACATGTCTGGTGCCTGTCTATGCCTCCCACCTGGCACAGCAGTGCTCTTCCAGTGCCGCCTTGGGTGCTCTGAGGGACCCTGCGCCTGGAGTGTGATGATGAGCCCCGGACCTCCACCCCCACCCCCAGTGAGCCTGGCTTCCCTCCCATATAGCTTCTGCTTCTTAGTAGAGGCTGCAGTGGCTGAAAGTCTCCAACATTTAGAAAGCAAGGTAGTATTTATTATTAACACTGCTTTCAGGAAGTGAAGTATACTCTGGGAAAGCACAAGATTCTCAGGAGAAAGTCATTCTACCTCTCTGTTAAATACTACAAGAAACAAGGAAAATAATAACTTCCTAAGCAAGTAAAAGCTGGCCCTACCAACTCTAAGTATTCATTTAACATGAACAAATAAAGATGTGAGGTTAGAAAGAAATAGGGAAAGACGGAAGGAAAGGAGGGAGGGAGAGGTGAGGAAGGAAAGGAGGAAGGAAAGGAGGGACGGGGCTAACATTAGGGTAATTCTTATTCCTTCTCAGAAGAAACTGTTTCTTTTCTTGGCCAAGAATGTAGTGTTAAGGGCTGGAGCCCCCTCCAGTGATCTTCCATCCTCAGGCTTCGTTAAATCAGTCCACGCCATGGAGAGCAGGAATTGTAACCAGAACTCAAATTCATGACCGCTGGGGAAAGGGCCACAAATCCAGAGTCCCCAACTCTGCTAATTCAACAGAAGGCATTTACAGAATGTTGTCAGGGTTCCATCCCCAAGGGTCTAGATCTAGAACATGCTGTCTTTACAGGCCCTTCTAGTCCCCATCACTGCTGACCTGCAGGAGACTTTTGCTTGCTAAAGATCTCTTAGTTTAAGATTAATCATCCCGTGGGCCCTGGTCTGAATGGAAAAAGTGCAGCAAGAACAATAACCAAATGTAGAAAGCAAAACTCTGAACAATGTAGATTTCTCCTTGCCAGCTGATCTCCTTGTCCTCCATAAGTAAAATTATCATTTTTCATTCAACAATATAACCCTGATAGACTGAGGCACTTCCCTTTGTCTCTAGAGCTGTTTGTCTGGAAGCTGAAGACCGCTGAAGGTCCTTCCAGGAGGACCTCAAAGTTCTAGCTATATTCCAGATAGGGGAAAAGTTTTAAAATGTTAACTAAAATCTGTATTTTGCCTTGGCCTCTCCATAACACTTTTTCATATAAAATCCTGTTGGATTCTCATAAGTGTGGACGATAAAGGTGTTTAACTGCATTTTTCCAGAGTGGGAAACGGGAGGCTAGAGGATTTTCTTCTCATAAGACCACTGAGTTAGTGACTCTAGGGGAGCTTGGCCTCAAAATTGCGAAACAGGAACCATCTTCCTACTTGTAAAGCTTGGTCTCTGAGCATAGCACCAAGGAAGTTTGGGTGGAATAACAGTCATTGCTCTCAACGTTGCTGTCCTCACAAATACAGGGTGTTCCACATGCCTACCCCTTTTTATAACCAAGAAGACCTTGGCTAGAACCTTTTCTTCCTAGTTTGCTCTTTATCAGTCTACTATGTGCATCATCCCAAGGCAGAGAACCATTAATTTATAAATATGTATATTGACAAACATCCCCCCCCCCGCACCCCGGTTCTGACCCACCTGATCCCCCACCTCCAGAGGTGAATCCCATTCCATTTTCAAAATTTGTAACGCCATGTTCCGTGTCAGTCTATGGAAGGAAAGATATTCAACAAAAACTTTTCAGAATATCAGACAGGGCCTCTAAATTGCTCCTCTAAAGTCAATGCTTTCTCTAAACATGACCCCCCTCCCCCCCATGCTGTGGTCTAGGCACTCTGGGCAGTCTTCAAGGGTGTTTTTAGGGGTAAAGTTTATCGCCAGGAGTTGTGGGCTAATTTTAAGAGGTAAAGGGAAAAAAATAAGGTAAAGAAGCAGGAGTTGCCAACGTTTTATGGGAAAGAGTGATGGAAAGAAACCCTACCCTGTTGTAATATGGAACCCTGGGCAGGCCTATGGGATTAAGACCCAAGGACAGCATGGCTAGGACAGAGGCGCAGAAGTCTCAGATGTAAGAGAGCTACCTTGGCACATAGGCAACCACAGGGGGAAATGTCCTTTTCTTGGGAAAGACTTCTCTTTTCCTCTTGGGAGGGGCTTCTGATTGGAACCTTAGAGATCCAACACGCCCCTCTTTTTACAATGAAGAAACTGAGGGCAGGGGAGTAACTGGGCACTGGATAGTCCCAGGAGAATGGCAGAACCTTTGTGTACCTTTTCAAACTCCCAGAGCAGACGGTACTTTCAGAAGAGAGGGTGGGGCAAGTTCTGCCTCTATTCTATCTGCCTTCTATCAGCTCTTTTTTAAGCTCCCAGCCTGGAAAACAATGAAAGGAATTGGCCGAGAGACTCAAGGCTGCCAAGTGTGGATGGCTTTGAGGAGGGTTTGACACCACTATGGACGGTTGGCCCAGTCATTGTGAGTAGAATCAGCAGATGTGTGAAAAATATGATGCAAGTCAGTATTTTGAGCCAAGAATCCTAGCACTTTGAGTAAGTACTTGCTGTATTGAACAAACACACCATTGCAATTAAGGGCTTTAAAATATGGGCTGGAGCCGACACCAAGTAAGCACTTTCCATAGGAAGCAAACATTTGGGAGATCAATGAGCTAGGGATCTGGAAGGACAGAAGTCTCTTTGGCCCAGAGCTAGCATGGAAACAATCTGAAGTAGCATCTTTATCTTTTTCTGTTTCCTGGGTACTCCAGAAAGTCACTGAGCTGCCACTCTCCCTGCATTAAAGCCAACTCTTCGTACCATCCCGAAGTTCCTCCTAGCCAGTATCTATCCTGCTACTGCAAATGTATTTCTTCTTGTCCAGCAGCACACATATTACCTCCTGTTTTAAAGGCATAGTTCTATCCGCTGACCATCAAAAATCTGTCAGCTAAATAAGTCTGACCCCGTAACTTTTCCTCTAGACTCCATTTTCTACCCATTTCTTCATTCTCTTGTATGAGAGCTCTTTAATACTCTTCTAAGCATACTTTTTACTTTTTTTGAAATTAAATGTATTAGGGTGACAATGGTTAGTAAAATTACATAGCTTTCAAGTGTACATTTCTGTAATTACATATCACACATTGTGTGCATACTTTTTTTCTATTCATGATGTTGAAGCCCTCAAGTTTTGCCTCCTGAAATTTGGAAAAGTCAGCCTCCACATGGTGCCTGTCCTGGGGTCTGTTATCAGCCAAACAGAGTCAAGTCCTCAGTCTTTTCCTCAGCTTCCCTTTAATGCGACTGCCACCGTAATAACCGGCTCTTATTAATGGCAGCCTTTGTAAAGAAAGCGGTATTAAAGGAGCCTTTAGTTGGTTCCCCTGTGTTTTACATCAGACCCTGAAATCAACAGCCAGGATTCCATCTTCTCTCACTCTCCCCGCATACTCTTCTTCGATGCCCGTTACCCCAATTTAAACACTATGAAGTGTTACAGTGTCCTGGCATGTACAAACTCACCCGTTGGTTTTCGACCTATCAACAACCACTGGGGCATGGCAAACAAAAATCAAGTGGCAACAAAGAAGCAATTCGGGTCGAAAAATATTCTACTGCCAGAGTCTCATCGGCATCCAGACAGCAGAGGCAGGCTTACGGCCCAGCACCGGCAAGCCTGACACAGAGGAGGTGGCAGGAGATGACTGTCATCTAGGCCTTCTTGTTCCCAGGGGAATATACATGGCCATGAGCACTAAGGAAATGAGTGCTGCCATTGGTGTGGATAGATGTGCTATTCTTGGACTTTAACTCTTCCAGGGAAAAACCGACTGAGCAAGCTCTGTGAAAGCCGGTCCGACTGAGCACAGCACTCTTCCGCGGATCCTTTGCCCCAAAACTGGGTTCCAGGAACTGTGCTGACTCTCCTTTCAGTAGAGCGAACAGTCACATTAAGAGGAGAGAACACAAAAGCCTAAAACAGTGGTTTGGTTCATTTACAGAAGTCTGGGAGTTTTTGTAACAGCAGTAGGGAGTAACCCAAAAGTAGGTCAGGCACAAAAATAGTAACCAGCACAAGTCATTTTTAACAGCTTGGGTTTTACCCAGGAGGCTGCCATTTTGGTTGATGGGTGACTTCTACATGTGGACCCTTACAAATAAGCCCCTCAGAAAGACTCCCAGTCTTTCTTTCCCTCTCATAAAGAACCCTCTCCAAACCCTACCTCTGGCACTCTACACCGTTTAACAGAAGTTATAGCTA